CTGTAAAATTTCTCTCCTTTTTTGCCTTTGTCACACGTTCACACGTATAAATTATTTAATGTTATCGATACGTGAATCGATTATTTTGAAAATAAAATTTAATTAAATGAAATTAATCTATAATTGATGCATACACACATCAATTATCGATGAATTCATTATTTTTATCTCATTTTAAATTATTGAAACTTCGTTTTAATGAATACAAATTATAGTAATTTATTTTTTTTTTTACAATTTATTATTAAAAAAGAAGTGAATTATTTAGAAGAAGAACAATTTTATCGAAATTATAAATTTAAAGATATATTCTAAAAATGTATAAAAAATGTTTCATTTAATGAAATAAAAAATTGAAATATACATACCGGTTGTAAGCAATGCATACTATACATCTAGTTCGAATTTGTGAAAACTATGTCACGAGGTTATCGATTTACGATTTGTAATGTGAAAATGATCGGTAGGAAGAACGCGTCTTTGTAATTTAAGAGGAACGCGTCTTGAAATTTTAATGATCCTTGTATTGTACTGTTATGTTGAATTATTTTCGATAATTCCTTTATGACCGATATAATGAAACTAATAGATTAAATAATAAAATTATGTTGTAAAATCGTTACCAATTATATATTTTATATTCGATAAAAAAATTATTTAATAAAAAAAGGAAAGAAAGAAAAGAAGAAAGTGACAAAATTTCACTTTTCTCTTATGTTTTCGAGCATGATGATTAATCATAAACAAAGATTTGTAGTGAAGAGAAAATGATAGGAAAATGAGAAGAAAGGAGAGTAATAAAATGAAAGAGAAACGTCGAATTAAAAGTGGCAAAGAATACAGGTTAATTGCATACATAATATAAAAAAAAATGAGACATCGCAGACGCTAATTAATGCGAAATAAATAAAAGAATCGATAAATAGTAAGAAGAATTGTTGAGAGGAGGAAAAAAGAGATGTAGCAATAAGAAAAATTAATTAGGTGGAATTAAAACAGGTGTACAGGTAAAAAGATTAAAAATATAAAACGAGAAAAAATACGATTTTATATAAAGAAAAAAAATATTATATATAAGTTGATTTATAATTCTTTGAAATCCAATAGAATAGTGGGTGAAAGTCAGAATAAGTAGGTTTGGAATATTGACTATTATATTAACAAGATTAGACACAGTATCATCCAAGGTAATTGAAAAGACCTTTTGCATTATGTAACTGTTCTTATAAAATGATCACAGATGTACTGTATTTAAAATAGTATTTTAATGTTATTTATCATTCTGTCAAAGAAGTATTCAAAGTATTAAATATATTCTAATGAGAGTAATTATTGAATTGTTGGATGAAGTAATGAAAATTTTCCTTCAATTTGTAATTTGTATTTAATTGTTTTAAAAAATAATTGTGATATTATATAAGTATTATGTAACGATGAGAACAAATCTATTTACGCCTATTTACATTTAAAATATATCTATTTACATTTAAAATATTTTTAAATGTAAATCATAAATAAATCAATTAATTCTATATAATATAAAATTAGTTTTATAATTAAATAATCATATATATTCGATTATTTTTAACTTACTCTATTTTAATATATTTTAAAAACTAATATATAACTAATATATTTTAAAAACTTTAATTGCACGAATACCAAGAAACTAGTTTCTTTGGAGAAATTTCGTTAATGCTTCGAAAGTAGAAGTTTATAACTAAAATAAAATATCTTTACATCTTTCTTTATGCATCATTAGGTCTTTTTATTATATTCTTATGGTCAAAATTTTCCGATTTCATTCTCGTTAGTAAACTATAAATATATATACTAATGGGAAAAAAATGAGAATAATTGTTCTGGCAATCTGCCAAACATTATACTTGAAAACCGATGGTCATAGTACCGTATGCTTTGTATTGATCACGGAGATATGTTTAGAATCATTTGAAAATATATCGAAATTTATCTTTAAATTTCATTAATTGAATTTATTTGTTTAAATGTTATATTAAATTTTTTTTTCTATTGCTGAATTATACCTTCATTTCTAGAAAATATTTAAATAAACTTTCACTTTTTCCAGATATATTTTCATATATATTTCATAATGATTTACGATTACCTAATGCAGCAACTATTGTAGCTTTGTGTTCATCACTATTAAAATTACATGCTTCTTTCCACCCTTGTACTGTGTGATACACGAACCTGAGCCAATAATTGTTTTCAAAGTTATAATTTTCTAGTGATGTTATGCGTATAATGATCGATGTGTCTATAATTATGTGTTGTTAACTTTCGTTGTTACGTACATCAAATTCCAGTTTAAGCTGTCATATACATATCTTGAAAAAAATAAAACGACCGTTCATTACAATGGAAATACTTTTATTGGAACAAAAATTTTAGTTCGTTAAATCTATTTCGATCCATTTTTATTTAAAACTAAATTTATATTAAAAAAAAGAAAAGATAGTATTTCAAAACAAGTATAATTCGCTGACTAATTTTCTACATACTTGCAAAAAAGGTAAAATGTGCACACTCTTTTTCTTGAATTCAAGACAAAGCTACTTTTATCACATTTTCTTTTTTCTTTTTACATATTTTTTATGCATATTTAACACTTTCACACTTTCAGACATTTCAGATGTTTGAAATTTGTCATCGATGAGCAATTTTTTTTTTTTAAATTTTCAAAAATAATAAATTCTGGAAAAAAAAAGGTATTTGTATCGAATACATTAATACACACACACACACACACACACACACACACACACACACACACATATATATATATATATATAACGGCTGACAACCAAATTTACATAATATTCATATAAGATCGTATTATCACAAAATTAGTAGTCAAAACCTACGCATATTACATTCTAAAAATATAAGAAATATTACGATATAAAAAAAATATATACAATTTCATATCTTTTTTTTTTTCCAAAAGAAGAAGAAAAGAATCGTATAATTTCTCTCGATCGCGTATTTTTTTTTTTTTTTTTCCCTCTCTTTATAAAAGGTTCACCTTCATATTCTTCGCCTCATTTCAGCACATTGTATTTTGGCGGGCTTTTTATAAAAAAAAAAAAAATTAGCGACCGAGAAAAATTATACGTTTTTTTTCTTTTTTTTTTGGAAAAAAAAAAAAAAAAAAAAAAAAAGTGACGCGATTAGACGGAAAGAAACGGAAAGGAAATAAGGATGTATTTGTCAGTCAGTCGGTCGCGGTCATTGTTCGTCGCATAACGGGTTCTCATGTAACGGGGTCGAGCGACGTTCTTCCCCTCTTTTCTTCCTACAGTCTTCGCGGAGATCATGGAACGGGTGGATTCTCGTAACCGTTTCAAAGCTGGGACGTTGACCTAGAATCCTATCGGAACCGTTTTTCTCTAACGAAACGTTTCTATCATTTCTTAATTTGTTGCAATAGATTAAAACAAATAAGATTCGAAAATCCACAATAAACTGTGGAGTTGTAATTTTGGAAATTGTTGTTAATTGTTGGAGAACGTTATTGTTGTTGTTAATTTGTTGTTGTTTAAATTGTGCACATAGATCTAATTCTGAAAAGTTGTATGTCGATGGGCTTTAAAAGAAAAGCAGAAAAGCAAAAAGAAATAGAATATTTTATTAAATAAGCGAATTCAAATTGTTGAAATAAATATTTATGCTGACATATGGAATATATGAATAGAGATTTTTTTTTTTTTGAAATTGAAAAACTTCTGATATGAGTTATTGAAGATTAATTTATGTTTATAACAAATTTATTTAAATATTTATTTTTCTATTTATTTATTTTTTATCGATTTTACAATTTAATATAATTTTATATTTATAATTATTCTGTATATTATAGCAATAATAGTAATATAAAAATATTACTGTTATATTAATATTATATTAATATTAATATTAGTGATATGCAAAATATTTCAAGATTTTACATATAAATGACGATAATATGATGATATATCGATTAAAAATGATAAGATGAATGAGATACATGATTAAAATGAATACTTTTACATGTAATATACATATATGTAAATATTGAAATTTGAATAATTAAAAAGGAGATAGATTGGAGAAAAGATATGCAATTCTGTTTATTTCCAAATTTAGAATTCAAAATATATTCATTGACACGGATTGGATCGGATTTATTCGAATTAATTCGGATTTATTTTCTAAAATTATCTCGAAAATATTAAAATTTAAGTAAAAGTAAACTTAAAACTTTAACTTTGAACTTGAATTCGATTTTTTTTTTTAATTATTCAGAAAAAAATTTCCATGTTTATTTCCAAATTTAGAATTCAAAATATATTCATTGACACGGATTGGATCGGATTTATTCGAATTAATTCGGATTTATTTTCTAAAATTATCTCGAAAATATTAAAATTTAAATAAAAGTGAACTTAAAACTTTAACTTTGAACTTGAATTCGATTTTTTTTTTAATTATTCAGAAAAAAATTTCCATAACATTATTAATAATTTATTACTTAATCTTAAGTAAAAAATGACCTCTGAGGTTCAAAATGCAATATTGATTCATATTGATTGTTAAAAAAAAAAAGGATAGAAAAAAGACAATAAAATAAATCTCTAAAATAAAATATTCTCTTTTTCTAGCGAATAAATAATTATGAATAATTCTAATGTTTAACCTTTTCTCTTGTTTTTTTAGGTGAACGAATACTGTGGTCGCTAGAAGACACGAAATGAATCCAATAGAAATTAAATATATCCGTAATCAACTTGAAAAACTTGGAAAACTTTGGAATCACGTGAACGTATATCATTTTTGTTGTAACTTTCTCAAATTTTATTTCTCCATCTTTGAGGGATCGATATTCATTGTTCCGTAACTTGTACAGCCGTAAACGAACGAACGGAAAAAAGAAACGAAAAGGAAGAAATATATATGTATATATATGTATACACATATATTATTTATATATTTATATACGTATATACATATAGATCTATATCCTAAAAAAGGATAGAGAAGATTCAAGCAAGGCCAAAGATAAAACCGAAGAGAAGGAAAAACGAAGCGAAAAAGTTTCTAAGAGGCTTGTAAACAACAGAAAGGTTTTTTTTTTTAAAAAAAGCGCCATCACTGGGGATTATCTAGAAAAAGAGAAAATAATTAAGGATTATTTTGTTCATTCAAACAGTGACATAGTGAAAAAAAGGCATCAAAATGAGCACAATAAGTGACAACCAATGTACGTCTGTAAGAGATTTCTACAAGGACAGATCTATTTTCATCACCGGTGGTACCGGATTTATGGGCAAAGTTCTCGTTGAAAAATTACTCAGATCTTGTCCTGGAATAAAGAACATTTATATTCTGATGAGACCTAAAAAGAGTCAGGATATTCAACAGAGGTTACAGAAATTGTTAGATGTGCCGGTACGATTATTTCTTATTTTACTTCGTTGCCTTTAAAAAAAAATTCGAAGAAAAGAAGTTTCAAGTTTCGTGCTGTCTTTCAAACTTGGACAAGTTTTAAGTTTAAGAAATCATCGGTTAAGAAAGTCACGTATTGCATATGTAAAATTTCTCTAAACTTAAAGCCTGTTAACTAATCGGTACATAAAACTCGGTTAGAAATTTCTTATGCTCCAAAAAGAGGTTTATGTAATAGGAATTTAATTCAAAATCGGGGATACAAAATTTAAATTTTAAATATTAATCAAATAGATCGATCTTTTTCTTTCCATAGATTAATTTTGAATATGGATCGGAAAAAAAAATTTTTGAAATATGAAATTTTTAATTATGATTAATTAAATTTTGTATAATAGAAAAAAACGTTAGATCTTGATTCGATTTGTTAATTTTGTAAAATATTGTTATTTTGTCAAAAATATCTTTGCGTTTTTGATAAATAAATAATAATTGTAAAAATATATAATTTTTTAATTCGTCACTTATATAATTTTATTATTAACATGTCAAAATGTTCACAGCTGTTCGATAAATTGCGTCGAGACGCTCCTGATGATCTTTTGAAGATAATCCCTATAGCTGGAGACGTGACAGAGCATGAATTGGGCATCTCAGAAGCTGATCAAAATGTTATAATAAGAGACGTGTCGATCGTTTTTCATTCTGCTGCCACTGTGAAATTCGACGAACCGCTGAAGCGTTCGGTTCACATCAATATGATCGGCACTAAACAACTGTTGAACTTATGTCATCGCATGCACAATTTAGAGGTAAATATATTAGATGTATAGAGATATATTATAATATACGGTGATATATAAAAACTCGTATATAAATGTGATAATATGATGCAGATAAAAAAAAAATATGCAATAATGTATAATAATTGATTTATATAATAAAATAATTATATATATGATAAAATAATTGTGATCATCTTAAAATAATAATTAAATTTATTTGAAGAAGTTGTTGTAATTCCATTTTGAGCAAAAAACCAATTTGAATTTCAAATATTGTTTGAAATATGTGTTTTTTTCTTCATAATCAAAATAAAAAAAAAGATAAATATCTATGGAAGAATAAATTTAATATTTATATTTATATAATAATATAATATTTATATCTATTTATAGGCTCTGATCCATGTTTCAACGGCATATTGTAATTGTGACCGCTACGATGTCGCTGAGGAGATCTATCCTGTGTCGGCGGAACCAGAAGAAATAATGGCTTTGACGAAATTAATGGATAGCCAGATGATTGATAATATAACACCGACTTTGATCGGTAAACGACCGAATACCTATACGTTTACCAAAGCTCTGACTGAAAGGATGTTGCAATCCGAATGTGGTCATTTGCCGATTGCAATTGTAAGACCCTCTATCGTTCTTTCTTCGTTTAGAGAACCAGTATCTGGATGGGTGGACAATTTAAATGGACCAACTGGAATTGTTGCCGCTGCTGGCAAAGGTTTCTTCAGGTAACTTTGAACTATTTGTTCGTCTTGTAGTCTAGTTAGATATTTTTTTTTAGGGCAGAAGAATTTGATCTAATGTTAAAATTATTGTAAATTTTGATATTGAAATTAAGTTTCTTATATCTAAAAAAAAAATACATTGTAATTTAAAGATTGAGTCAATCAAAGAATCATATAAAGATCATATAAAATAATTTTTTGGATTATAAAATTTAAGAGATAGAGAAAGAAACAAATAATAATAATAATAATAATAATAATAATGAGTTAAATTGTTTATGGAATAATTTAATTTTAACTATTTAAAAGATTGATATTTTTTGTCCCAAACTTTTCAAATGATTGAATTAATTATTAATGAATAAATATTTTTTATTACAGATCTATGTTGTGTCAGAAAAATATGGTGGCAGATTTAGTACCAGTCGATATAGTAATAAACTTGATGATTTGCACGGCATGGAGGACTGCGACAAATCGCACGAAAACAATTCCCATATATCATTGTTGTACAGGTCAGCAGAACCCAATCACCTGGCAGCAGTTCGTTGAACTGATATTAAAATATAATCGAATGCATCCACCGAATGACACAATTTGGTGGCCGGATGGCAAGTGCCATACATTCGCTATAGTGAACAATGTATGCAAGATCTTCCAGCACCTTTTACCGGCGCATATTTTGGATTTCATTTTTCGACTGAGAGGCAAACCAGCCATTATGGTTGGTCTACATGAGAAAATCGATAAGGCTGTCAAATGCTTAGAGTACTTTACTATGCAACAATGGAACTTCAGAGATGACAATGTTCGACAATTAAGCGGTGAACTTAGTCCTGAAGATCGACAAATTTTTATGTTCGATGTCAAACAAATTAATTGGCCATCGTATTTGGAACAATACATATTGGGAATTCGGCAGTTCATTATTAAGGACAGTCCGGAGACACTGCCAGCTGCTCGTTCACATATTAAAAAGTAAGTAAAAAAATGGAACGCAGTGCAATTTTTATAAATTTTTTTTTATTTTTCCTTTTTGTAAAATGAGTTATATAATTATATTGAAAATATTGACAAATAACGAATAAAAAGAAATTAGAATTTTAAATTTTAGAATTACATAAAATACGTCTAAAAAAAATAATCCTTTTATATAATTTATATATATTTTTATATAATTTATAATATATAATATATAATATTATATATTATATAACATTAATTTATTTGATTATATTTCAGATTATATTGGATTCAAAAAGTTGTAGAATTCGGGATGATATTAGTGGTGCTGCGTTTTTTGTTGTTGCGCATACCTATGGCCCAAAGCGCATGTTTTACACTATTGTCTGCCATATTACGCATGTGTCGTATGATTGTTTGACGGCTCAGAATGCCGGTTGAAAATCGCGAAAAGCGTTATAAGAAACAACTAATCGTAAAGAAGCATAATTTAATGGTGCAGGTTATCCTTCAACTTCATTGCTCATCATCCCATCGGTTGGCCTTTTCGATGTTTCTATTTGTTCATAACTAAATTAGCGTTCGCTAGAGATATTAAATTTCGCGGAGAGTGTCAGTTATGAAGCAAGTTCAAAAAGGACATAAATAATGAAATAAAAAAAAGAAAAAAAAAAAAAAAGAAAAGAAAGGAAAACGTGCATTCGAAGCTTC